AATTTGACTAACCAGATATAGAAACGAAACACTACGTAAATTTTATGAAATCATGATATTTTAGTTATTTTTTTTTCATTGAAAAAGTAGTGATGAAATTCTTTCCGTGAAGTATTTCGCTTCATTTTAGCTAAGCGATAGTGAAGACGACGGATGTATTAATTCAAAGTAAATTGACTGTTGTGTAAAATAACTGTTTATCGGTTAAGCAATCAAAACTCGAATTCATTCGATGAACATTTCTTGTTTATAAAGAAGTGTAGTTAAAGAAACAAACATTTGATGCTCTTCAATATTGAATAAGTGCCCATATATATATATATATATATATATATATATATATATATATCTTATTCAATAAGGAATATTACAGACAAATTGGTGGTGTAGCTATGGATTCCCCATTAGGTCCAATCCCAGCTGATTTTTTCCTCGCTAAGTTAGAGAATGGACCACTAAAAGGAGTAATTAATGACTTGGATTTCTACTATCAACATAAGGATGATACATTTCTGGTTATGAAAGACGAGAATGATGCAATGAACATCCTTGACAAGTTTAATGATACACATTCAGAAATAAACTTTACCACAGAGAAAGAAAGTAATGACAGTATCTCATTCCTAGACGTCTTCATGGCAAGGAAAGATGGCACACTAAAAAGGAGTGTGTATAGGAAACTTACAACAACAGATCAGTACACTCATTTTTTGGTTTTTGAGCCTTTGAAATATAAACGTAACCTGGTAAAGTGTCTGGTTCATAGAGCCAGGTTAGTCTGTTCAGACGACTGCCTCAATGAGATGCTTAAGATGTGCGTCGGTGGCATAGTTGTTAGGGCTCTCGCCGACCATGCACATGGTCCGAGGTTCGATCCCCTGCCGACGCACACCTGATATCTATGGTCGGCCTGAATAATTTGGGCTACCGATATCCATGCTGAAAATTCCATACTTTTTTTTTTTTTGATTTACAGCTTGATTCCACACTGTATTTTTGGTACAAGTATGGAATTTTCAGCATGGATATCGGTAGCCCAAATTTTGCAGGCCAACCATAGATATCAGGTGTGCGTCGGTGCGGGCTCGAACCCCGGACCATGTGCATGGTCGGCGAGAGTCCTAACCACTGTGCCACCGACGCACTTGTACCAAGAATACAATGCGGAATCAAGCTGTAAATCAAAAATCAATCAAAAATCAAAAAAATTAGAGAATTACTTAGAAAATGGTTACTTAGATAAACTCATTGAGAAAAATATGAATTCAGCACCTAGGAGAGTCAGAATGACAACAGTTCCGAAAAAACCAATGTTTATAAGACTGCAGTTCCTCAGTGACAACATCAGTGAAATAATAACACAGCGCCTGAAGAATGCAGTTAAAAGAGCTTATTATGCAGCAGAGGTACGTTGTCTCTTCACAACTACCCCTATTCTACGTTCAAGAAATAAGGATAAACTACCTCTTCTGTGTGTATCTACCAGTTTGACTGCAGCTGCGGAGCCAGCTACATTAGGCAGGTTCATCATCGTATTTTCTGAACATCATCCAACATGATTAGGCAAGGGACAAACAAGATTTATTCGTAGCTGTATTTTAGCACACCTTGTAGGTAGTGAGCATAAGGTTGATGTTAATACAGTACCTAAAATTATCTATCGCATTCCTACTAATCTTAATTATGCTCTACGAGTTTGTCTCCTACAGACAGCTGAAGCAATCGGAATCCACCTGAAGAAGCCAAACCTGTGTGTTCAGAAGAAATTTGTACAGCCACTTTCCTTGCCTTGGCCATCATTACATGAATGTACAAACCGAACTAATTCGCCCCCCTCCCCTAAACCTTTAAAATTATAAAAATTATAATTCTCCAAGTTATTTTATTTTTTCTGACCACTTCATCTTTAATTACGTGTTCTCCTTGTAAAATTAATTTCTAACCATTTCTCTCCAAAGGTGACATGGAGGAGATCGTGTGAAGAGGAGCTGAAACAGTATGGACTAACATGGATGCAGGTGAAAAGTACAGCATAAGACAGAAGCAAGTGGAGACGTGCAGTTGAAGCCCTATGTTCCACTAGGAACCCATGGGAACAATAATATAATAATAATTTCTACCTTTTAAATGTGTATTGATTTTCTTCGTTTATTATCAACCTATTGACATTTTGACACTGACTAGTTATTCTTAACAAATATATCGCCACTTTATTGGTAAACTGTTGTGTATTATAATAAAAATGCTCTGTGTGTATATTAGAGTAGAGCCAGAGATGAGGATCTAATTGAAAAGTAAATATTTCTTCGCTCAATCTTTCTGTTTGCTAAATGTCTAAATGGGGATTTTTTTCTATATTTATCAAAATGAAATCTTATCCATAAGGGGACAAGTTACTTAACCCAGTGGAAACATAAAACTACTATCTTTGATTATTATACGACTTGTAGGTACTAATCACAGAATATTTGGAAACTGTACTGTCCGGTTTTTGTTCCCAATAGCTCTGCAATTCGCTTCAATTAGTGATTAAAACTGTATTGATATGAACTGACTTCCATAAACCACATAGATGTAGAGGTTAGTAATAATAGTTTCCCATTTCTTCATCCCTTTTCTTGACAAGCTATCTGTTATGTTACTAGAACAGCTGTGAAAAAAAGGTATGTTATTTCCCTACCAAAATACATAGTAATTAGAAAAAATTATAAAACTTTTTAAACCAATTAAAATGGAAATTTTTCAACTCTTAAACAGATATATTAAAGAGGTGTGTTAATGAAACATACATTTAAAAATGAAAATTATGCTGGTGACGCAGAAATGGTAACAAACCTTAAATTTGTTTTCAAGTATTAGTTGGTAGAGAATTGATTGATTGGTGACAGGATTTCATCATGACCTGACATTGGTTAGAGAAACACTGGAAAACCTGGGAGTAATGGACAGTTGTTTCATACCAGTTAGGAACTTTTCATCGGTACGCACCCATCGCCAGGGTTCAATCTCGGTAGCTAGGAGTCGCGCTACGTCGTGAATTTGCAGAAGTTGAAATTCCGGGGCCATTGGATTGGGTCCCAGTGGCTTAATGGTCTGCGAGCTAGCGTTGTAACCAGTAGGTCCTTGGTTCGAACTCTGGTGGGTGAGTACTGCTGAAAAGTCACAAACTAGGATGAAACAGCTTTCCAGTACTCCCAGGTCTTCCAGTGGTTCTCTAACCAACGTCAGCTCATGATGAAATCCTGTCACCTTTAAATTTGTGTTCACTGACTATAACTGAGAAAACACAATACTACAGTGACACATTTTACTAACCATATGCATATAAGTTTTGCTAAGCATACAGTTAATATACGTAGTGTTAATATGGGAAAATAGAATCTGGATACTGTGGTAGAGCATAATTCTGAAGTAGAATAGTTTTATTTGTTATAGCACACAGTGATATCACACTGACATGATTATGAACACCAAAATTCACTCGAAACGTTATCAAGAAGTAAATCACCCCGTATCAGTGTGTTATATCAAAAAAAAGTATTCTGTTGTGGAATCATACCATTTGCATACTATAGATAAATTGTAAAAATCTGAGACAATTTAAAGGTAGACGAAATACCCATAAAATGATTAGTTGTCAAATACACTATTTCGAACGACCTCCATCGAAAGAGTGCACAAGTTGAAAACAGAAGCACTTCAAAAACAGTGTAAACAACATTCGAAATCCTGTCACTAAAAGATCACTTGAACTTTGCTGCCTGAATTTTGTAGTAAAAAGATGCTCAGCACTAAGAGGGTAATATAAGCGACAATAACGAAAGGTTTATCACAATACTGGGTCTTCAAAAGGAGAAAATATAACTAGATGAATTAACACAAGCAAGTGGTGTTACAAGAAGAGAGATAGAATACACTTGTGAAAGCTTATTTTACGACCCCTATTTTCCACGCTGAAATCGGTGAAGTTGTTTTCAGGCTAATGAACTATAATCACATATACACAAAAAAATAAAGGTGCTAATAGTGAGAATAGGACTAACAAGCAACGGATATTAAAGCATCCATATAAGAGCAAATAAACATTTCAAATAATGCTACGTGATGATCTTTACATGTGTATGTCAAGCGGAAGATTATTAGTGAAAAGACAAATGAAAAAAAACGCAATCAAAAATTGCGAAGCGCAACAATACAAAGGACTATGTAGCAAGGTTGGTGAAGGACAAACAGAGTTAGATATGAATGTATGGGTGCTACCACAATCAACTCAACTATTTCGCCAGAAAAGGAGATTATCTAATCTTTTTTACAGAATTCACTAGAAGCAAATGTATAATTAGTACTTCTGATGTAAAAAACGAGAAGTTTCTTTGCTTTGTTACAAGAAAGTGATAGGAAGGTATTTAAATTTAACAAGTAGTATAATAAAACTTCGCCGAAATTTACATGAAACAGTAGCGCAAATCTAGAAATCAGCGCATTAAATCACGAACATACCAAAATAAGGGGGTTTTTAATGACATAAACCCTTGTAATCGTCTGGGATTTTCGGGTTCACCTTCGTAAAGGCATCTAATAATTCACTTGCTTTAATTTATCTTAAAAACAGCTTGTAGAATAACTTTGTCATCTTTTGTAGTTAATACGAGTTATCTATGGCATAAATACATTTGTCAAAGCGAAGCAAAATATAGACCAGAAATGTCAACGACAACAATCTATATTTTCAACAGTTAGTTACTGATATACTTTTAAATACTTCTCATCCATGAAATTACTGAAGCATTTCCATAAACTAACTAGGTGTGAGATCACGTCTCTTCTCACTTAACAGACAACTTTAATGAGCCTAAAGGTGATGAATAAGACGGAATTCAGTAATTCAAATAGTTGGATATAAGCGTTTGCGAAATCTAAAATAATAACAGTATTTACAAATGTTATCTTTATTTGTTGGCGTTTAAAGCATAATTTCAAATAATAGATCTCGGGCTTACCGACACTGGAAACATCCTCTTCATTGATAATTTCACCATTGATATCGACCAATTGCCAAGCTCTCATCATTATTCGTATGTTACGGATTATTACTCTTTCTGAAAATAAGTATATTTATCTCACAATGAAGACTTCCATTTTACCAAGTTTTTTTTGTTTATTTTAACCAAATGATTAAAAATCTTAGACTAGAAACCATTATGGTTGTACGTAATAAAAACAAACTGATTATTTCAAAAAGGTGGATATAGTTTACTGATAAGTGGATTTTCCAAACACTATGTGAATGTATTTCAAAATAAAAGAAGTTTAAAATCGACTCTGCCTATGGAAATTAAAATAATTTATTTGATAAAATTGACTAAAACCTTGTGAGATGTGAACTTGTTTTAGTAGCCCGTTTTTTAAGGACATCATTGCTTTATCAATCTTCTGCTATGCGAGGGATTTAAACGACTGTTTTAATGATGCATTGGAGTAACATTTGTGAGCAAAAGGTTCTTCAGAACTCCAAATTATCTCACAGAACCACTTTTCTTACCATTAAGAAGACTAAACCATCAACTTGTTCCGATAACACTTTCAACTTGTAGTATACCATTTTAAACTAACTTGTAAATATATCGTTTTAAGCTTTCCACTTTTCATCTTGAACTCGCATCATCCTGTTTTAAACATACTTTGAACAAAAAGTGATTTTAGTGAATCCTAAATTAAATTCCTTGGGGAACACAAGCATTGTACAGCTTTGCACAAAAGTGCGTCAGTACAAGTTTCCACATTTCTTTATTCTGCACAAACCACCGTTGTTCTTGCTTTGTTCAAATTCATCAAGGGGAATAAATGCTGTTTAAATAACATTGCATCAATATTAATAATATCAATGGATTACATTTCGATAGTAACAACAACACTGAATATCAGGAAAATTAGGGAAAATACAAATTCATGAATTAGTCTCCAGCGAAGGCCGGCCAGGGCAATAGTAGTAGTTGGACTTGCTTCTTCTTCACAGAGCACCGGTTGTTTCAGGCGAATTGCCTTTACTGTTTGAAGTATGAGGTACCTCGAATTCTTTAGCAATTTATTTCTCAATGCTGGCTTCGTGACCATTTTTGACCTGGTAGTGTCATATCGAACTGCTGGTTTTCACTACACCTTTATTGAGCCGCACTGGTAGATGTTTTATAGCAAGGAAAATCAAGTTCCTGAGGCGACGGCTGAAATAAAACGCGCTCCACAACCGCAGTTGAAATGGTATATATAATTGGAGGTGGCTAGTCTAGTTACTTAACCTTTCAATCGAGGAATAACCACCAAAATTACTGCGGAACTGAGTAAGAGTCCAGATTTCGTGATCACTGAGTGTAATATGCCTCATTTACATTAACTCGAAGCACAACACTGGTAGGATAATTTCAAATACAAGCGATTATTGGGCTTATGAACACAATAGTAAATCTCTCGTATCATGTTCTACAGAATTACCAGCTTATTTTTCGCGAATGATCTGCATATGATCAAGTAGACCCAAGTTCTGGAGTTAGAGAACTGAGGAAGAAACGCTAACAAGTAACTTCATCACCAGTAAATTAAAAAGCTAGACATAACTACACAGTCCTTAAGAAGATATCTACACTATTTCATGGGAAAACCAAATTTAGCTTAAACTTAAAAAGAAAAATCAAATGAAAAGATACCCAAGCTTTCTTATGATAAATAAATGTGTTATCTACCTAAAATAAACCCACTATGTACTGACATAAGGTTGGCTATTCCTAAAAAGAGCACTGGAAGACTTATTAATGAGACAAGATTTTAAAAATAGGGCCTGAAGCTCAAATAAAGCAGTGCCCATAGAGCTTAATAATAACCTAGTCCTCACATGCATCCTAATCAATTGAAATGATATACTAATAAGAATACATAACACAAACTAAAACATTTAATTCGAAGCAAAAGAGAATTCCACCATTCATTTGTGACCCAGTGGACCATGTTACAGTATATAAACTATTAAACCAATTATTATATAAGGTGAAACATAATGTAGAATCTTTTTGTGCAATATACAAAACATACATGATGCTTACTGGTGCAGTACGCGTTGAGACCAGAAGAAATACTGACAAATCTCCACAGACAGCCTAATAATAACAGAGGAAAGCAACGACCTTGAATCAGCTGTGTTAAACTCGAAATTGATTGGTTCTTTTTTTCAAAATTACAACAATGGTTTTTGTTATTGACTATTATAAACAAACAAGGTCAACAGCCTAACTACAAGCCACAAATTTCAAGTCAGCAGTGTATAACTATAAAATGAAGCTGCACTTTACTTGCTTTTAGGAGCTCAGACTAGTCAACCATTCTCTTGAGTTTTGGAATCTACAATATTATGATTTTATTCTGGATTGATACATCATCCACTAGCAAGTCAGTTGGTAGAGTCAAAATAATAGGGCTGGTTTTGTAATTTCCTGCGGGGTGAATCATATCTACTGATTGTTTCGGCAGTGATAAATCTGTGAAAAAGGAGAAAATGAATTTCGAAAAGGGCCAAAATTACGATCTTGGTGTAATGGTATTGAAGTCAGACAAGGCACGTTCCCATTAGCTGGTTTGTGCAGCGACATTAAATCTGAGTAGGATTGTGAAAGGCAAAGAAAACACAATAAAATCCGGGGGTTATGTAAGTAATGTTCTCAGGAATCCTTAAAGCACTTAATATAACCTATCTCGCCTCTTTTTATGATCAGCAGTATTACAGGTTTTCTTAAACCGGGTCTTGTAGTAGGACATTTGGAGTTAGAAGATAGGTAAATATGGGAAAAAGCATCAAGCATAAAGTATTCGTAGGAGATTAATGTCTCATACAACACAGAGACCTAGGGGTGGAAACCAACAATTTGGAAGAAGAAGCGGTCAGCACAGGATATAGGACATAGAGACGACTTAGGTTAAGACATTAAAACACCAACAGCAAGCACCGACAACAGAAGAAAGTATGTTTCTCACCTATGCAGAGAGCATCCTCCTAATTTAAAGGCGAGAATGTCAAAGTCAAAGCCCGAAAAGCATGTGAAATCAGCGGGAAAATCTAGTGCAGTCGACAATAAGTACATCATTCGGACAATGAAAACTTATGTCATAGCAGTGCTTCTCTTTCAAAGAATTACTTTGTCAACAGAGGGTTTTCCAATAGACTTGAAACTTTCACTAATAGTGGTCCCCGCTGGTCCGATATTGATGATTAAATGGCCAGGACAAATTTACAAAAAAAGAACTGTAGAAACACACCAACCCAGACATATGTCAATGTAGTTGAAGATTGAACGATCAATACATGGTTGTTTGCTCAAACCCAACATCCCCAATTTTCGCGCAGGCATCAATACACCAGTCATCGTCTCATCGGTCGCTGTTCAGAACCAAGTCAGGAGACAACCGTCAGAAGTAATATTGTGATTTACTATTGTAATATTTGTTCATAGACCCTAGTTTTAAAGCTTAATTTTAAAGTTGGCTATATGTTGGTGTTACAATAAAGAATTCTCGAGTGGCCAATAGGTGTTTTGGTTTTTTCGTCCGTTATTACTAAGCGTTTCTGAGAAACTTCAAGGAACAGCGTGAGTCCCAGCGTAGCAAGAGTTGGCCATTGACGGTTTACGAAACGAGGCTGACAGTTTCTGACAGTGAAGTCAGCTTCTGACGGCGGAAACATTTTCTCACAGTGAAGATTCAGGTAGCTGGTGACAGTTTGGATAGTCACCATTCATCTTTTCTGGTGCCAGTCAAGTCTTCTTCGAACAAGCAAAATCTGGAATATTTTGGAATCGGTTCAAGTTCAACAATGCCTGTGTCAGTCTCGTCTCATAAACCGTTAATGCCCAGCTCTCGCTACGCTCGGGCCCACGCTGTTCCTTTGAGTTTCAGAAACGCTTAGTAATAACGGACGCAAAAACCAAAACACCGATCTGCTGCTTGTTATTTCTTTATTGTTACACCAACATATAAAAGGAATAAACGAACTAAGCAAACTAAGGTCTGAAAACTGATATTACAATAATAAATCATTGTTACTTCTGACGATGTTTCACTCTTCTTTCTGAACAGCGACCGATGAGACGATGACTGTCGTATTGATGCCTCCGCGAAAATTGGGGAAGTTGGTTTTGAGCAAACAACCAAGAATCAATCGTTCAATCTTCAACTCCATTGACACTCCCCGGCAAAATACGGATCCAACCCTTTTTTCCTTCACGACCAATACACGTTGACTTGGATGCAAAGTGACCATGGCAGGACCTCACGAGACCCTACGCACATCCTCTTAATTACTCACTACCAATTACCATTGAAATCGCTTGTCACTCATTCTGCCTCAGTTCTAGTAGCGGTGACGCATGCGAGCCTCAGTCGTTTACACTCTTTCTCCCCGGCGTGTCGGACCGCAGCTAACAATTATCTCCGTGTGCATTTCATTCTCAGCAATAGCCTAGCCTCCCCGGCGTATACGACCCATCTGCTGTCTCTAACATCAATCAATTCATTCACGGATGTAGAAGACTAGAAACAACTTCAGAAGTAATCACGACGAAAATTTTAACAAAATTATGCAATAAAAACAAGGCACGAAAACAACGAGTAAACACAACTGATCCAAAATCACAAATTGCGAAGACACACCACACGTATACACAAACAGTACAAATAACCTCGCGGATCATGTCTTGGTGGAATTATTTTGAAGAATTGGAGGACTTACACCAGTACGCCTACAACCCTTCACAGGTTGACGATTGTAAGTTGTGGAATGTCCAGACACAAACAAGATTAACCAACAATTACATCAATTGGAACTCACACAACTATTTAACACAAACATATGTACAATCAACACATCAAATGTTGTGGATTCTGACACGACAAACTACCCTTGAAGAACTGTAGGACTTACAGCAGTACGCCTACATTCCTTCTCAGGTTGATGATCCAAGTGGAAGTCGTCCGGACACAAACAGAATTACCAACAGCTAGATGACAGATGATATCAATTCAGTATATACAATATGAACATATGTACAAAATCACACACCAAGCACATTGGACTGCTCATTGATGCGCTACCCTTTGAAGAATTGTAGGACTTACACCAGTACGCCTACAACCCTTCTCAGGTTGACGCCCTAGGTTGGAAAATCGTCGCAGAGTTCATTTGCTAACTTCCTTCTATCAGCTATATCCTCAAATCTGAACGGCAACACGCCCATGTCATTGTATCGTAGAATATAGATGACCAACAAACACACGACATATCTCATCAACCAAGTATAGAAACAGAGTAATTTACACCAAAGATAATAACATTCAAATAGTAACTTGAAACTAGAAATGCCTTTATTCGTGCAAGTCAATTTAACAATAACTCTCTCCTTTACACTTGGCTTATCCACACTAAACTGACCATTGATATTCGTCCTTTCAAACGAACTGATACTACCATAGTCATTGCACAAGATACTTGAGTTGATGGGTGTCTGTTTCATTGTGGATGACAGCACCAACGATGACTGAGTGACACAAGGTGATGAACTTAGTGGTGGATCAGAAGCTGTTCTTGTTCGGCTCTCAGATAGTTGTCCAACTGCAAGATTACCACCACTGCTGTCTTTCACTACTAGTTCGGGTTTAGCACTATCATCTGATGATAGGTGGGCTACACGCTGATCAATTACACTGACTGTCTCACAAGTATGCACACCTTCTGGAACTGCATCTGCGTTCAATTCTACTTCACGTTGTAGTTGTACAGAACCTTTATTTAACTTAGCAGTAGTAGGCATATCCCTCATCTCATAATGATCAACCAAAGACAAATGTGAAGTATCATGATCATTATCACGAATATTCACTTTACCGTCAACTTCATCATTTTCAAACTCTTTAATAACAGAAGTAGACAATTTTGGTTCCTCCTCACAAATCATAAAAGGTTTTATAACTTCACTCTGACTAGTAATACCTTGTAAACTTGTAGGGTCAGAACTGCACTCTGAAGCAGCAACTCTATTCTGTGACACTCTATTCAACAACGGCTTACCAGTTGCAACTACAGACTTCTTCACCGCACCGTTATCGTCACACAATTCGGAGTCAGGCCTGGAGTTTACATTTAGCTTATCACTGAACTTGCTCACCGGTTCACAGTTCACTTCTGTATGCACCTCTTGCACACGTGTAAAACAAAACCGTGTTTGTCTTGCATCTTGTAACTTATCTGTTGAGGATGTACTACGAAACCTGTTACACTCACTAGGTCTATATGCATTACTAGACATCATGGAGCTTCTCGATATCCACCTCTCTGAGGCCTACTCGTCATCAATGATTGCATTTTGATCTCAGACTGCTCTATTCTAGGGGTGAGATGTAATAGACTGGCGAACTTGCTCATAGATTGATTGACACTAGTATTTACCAGTTTCAGGATATCATCAAACTTTGGCTCGATACCCTCATCCTCCATACGGGAGCTTATCTTCACCCACTTCCTTTGCAGTCGAGTAGGTAGACGTCTTGCTATTACTTCTAGTATAAAACTCGAGTTGAGGTCACTCATGCGATTCATCGAAATCATTCCATTCTTGTAAATTAGCAAATTATCCAAAAACTCAGTGAGTGCCTGGGAGTCATCCTGTAATTGACCACCATTACCCTTAACAGCCTCGAATAATTTCCCTGCAATCATCGAAGGTCTTCCAAACCTTTGACGTAATATGCTCATAGCCTCATCGTAGCCCTCTTTTGGCTTCATAAACTTACAACACTGTATAGCTCTTGCAGCATCTCCAGTGCAATATCTCATCAAATACATTAACTTCAATTCATCATTTAATAAAAAACCACTCAACATGATCTCAAACTCCTTTACAAATTGTAAATAATCAGCCGGGTTTCCATCAAAACATCGTGGTTCAAATTTAGGGAGTTTGATGTTCCTATTATCCCTGAACGGCGAAACAGTAACATCAACCATGTCATACTTAACATCAGACACATCGTTACAATTAACAGACAAGTCACCATGACTTACTTTCCTGTT